GTCCGCGTGCCCTGCTGGCCCCGCTGCTCCCCGTGCAGTGTGGAGCAGATGTGAGCGCTGTGCCCCCTCAGGGAGAAGGACCTGGGCTCAGTAAAACAAGCAGAACGACAACGACGTTTAAATTTATGTTTTAGCCTGATTAAAAAACATTGAGAATTTGAGAGATCCTAAAAACGCTCTGTTCTTGTTCTGTTTGTGGAAGTGCTTTGGGAAAGAACAAGGAAAAGGTAAAATGGGAATAAAATACGGTTTAAAAAAAAAGCAAAGCAGAAAGCCAAAGAAACCTGTCCCTTGTGTTCTGCTGTGGAGAAATCAGCCTTACCATGGCTCTTGCCCAGACCTGAGCTGCAGTTCTGGGCTCAGGTGGCTCTCAGTGTGTCAGACAAGGGTTTTCTTGTAGGAGAAACCAATGAAGAGCTGAAAGGCAGAAACAAGAATTCTGGTATTGAGGAAAATATTTAAGTGACATTTGATTTTACTGCTTGGATTTATATGGCCTGAACATGGAAAACTTGTTTTCTGTCGTCACCAGGGAAGTGTCTGTAATGTGCAGAACCTCAAGTCATAATTCTTTTAAAAGCAAACCCGTTAGTTGATTATTCTTTCGTTTAAAGTTCCTGACTTCTTGTTCACGTGGATGCCAGACTAGGAAATGCAGGAGAGGAGCTATGTGAGGCCCACCTACGGTTTTTGACTTGCAGGAATGTTCCCGTTTAGGTTTGGTCAGGATTGCAGGGAATTAAGAGTCTCATCTGATTTGCATCTGTATTAACAAGTGGATCCTTTTACTGCTGGAAGCTTTGAGGCTGTAGCAGTGTTTTAATAAGTTTGTGTTTTGACCATGTAGCAAATTTAGGAATAATGTGTATTCCCAGGAATACACATGAACACGTTTTGAATGCTTCAAGTTCTACGTGCTAATAATGTTTAGTATGGATATATTATATAAGATACGGCTTACATTTCACTCTGTAGTTTAATCGTTCACTGTAAAATGAACTATCTCCTCCGTTGCCACTCCTAGGCAGTGTCGCGGAGCCTGTGAGGTGGGTTTGTTATTGGAGATCATTGGATTCTCTTCGGCTCATTCCTCCTGGGATTGCAGGGAGCCCTCGGGTGCAGCACACGTGTGTGCTGCCCTGTCAGTCTCTCTGGGCAAGGCAGATTGCACAGCAAGGGCCTTTGTGTTGAAAATTACTTACTGAAGTTATTTTCAGATCAAGCCTAATGACAGGAGGAGTCAAACGAGGTGTCACCAACCCGTGGCTCTTGGAAGAATCTGAGGAAACCAGAGGCCTTGGCTTTGATGATCTCAGGCAGCAGCAGCGGAGGATCATAGAAGGTACAAGAGTCTTTGTGGTTGTTGTGAGCATTGTTGGGATTCTGAGAGGAGCCCTGATTGGAACATCAGTACACTGACCTGTGCTGAAGTTCTGTTACTTGAGGTGCAAAACATAACAGTTCCAGGTAGCTCTTTGCTGTATTTGCAGAAGCAGCGTTGGGCTTACAATATTCTTAATTGGAAACATCTCCTTAAATCACATTTTAAAAGGCTTGATTTTGGCCCTCAGCATTCATAAGGAATCTCTAACTTTGGAAGTGTTGGAAAACCTCTGCCTGAGGACATCAGGTGGTTAATGAGGTCGTGTCCATCCAGTTGACGCAGTGGAACGCAATCAGTCTCCAGATAAGGCCTGTTAAGCCTGCACAGAAACAGCTGTGTAGCTGCAGCTCAGGAGGATGGCCTGAGCTCGCTCTGGATGGTCCAGGAGACACCTCAAGCTGCACTTTTAATTACACCATGGGTGATTAAAGGGAGGCTGGAAGAGGTGTGGGAGGGCCAGAACTTCACCTGTTGAAGGAAGGGAGTCCTGCCCATCCTGCCCAGCGTTTGGGTCGCAGGGTGCAACCACTGGCAGTCCTGCTCTGTGTCACAGGGTGCAGCTGGTCAGAGCATTGGCTCTCCAGCCTCCTGCAGCTCTTCTTGGGCCAGTTCTGGCAGCCTGGGCTAAGGAGAGCAGCACAGTTTTGTGTAGGGACTTCCTGAGGCCTGTGTGGTGTCTGCAAACTGCATAGCAGAGGTGATGCAGTTCTTCCCAAAGGAGTGTCTGTGGGAGCATGTCCCACTTTAGCTGCTCCCTGTGTACTCCCTCCCTCAGGCTCTCCCCCATGCACTATCCTCTTGCAGCTTTTAAAATCTATTTGAATTCTTCAGTGTTTGCATCACCTGTTTGTCTTTTATTCATGTTAAAAGTTTCTTGGAACATTGGAAAAGGCTGATCAGGAGCTCTCTCTGTGCCAGAAAAGCTCCTGCATTTATGACTGAGGAACAGCCCAATGTTGAATTCTTCTAGGGTTTTTGGGGACCCTCAGCAGAATGTCCCAGCCAGAGCAGAGACATTAATTGCCCATAGTTCCCATTATTTCAAGAGAACTGTTGCCATGAGGATTAATTTTCATGTTGTGTTGATGTATTTTACTTTGTACTTAATGCATTAAAATTTTCTTCACTTCTCCATCTTTTGTGGCACATAGCTTGGCATATTTGCAACTTTTTTCATGTAATTTTCTATACCTTTTTGGTGCAGAACAAGATGCTGGACTGGATGCTCTTTCTTCAATCATATCCCGGCAAAAGCAAATGGGGCAGGAAATTGGGAATGAGCTGGATGAACAGAATGGTAAGGACAAGATTCATGAGCTCACTTTTACCTGTTTTACTGATTTTTTTCACTCCTTGTAGGACTCTGCCCACAGAGCAGCCAGATGACTCTGTAAGAGTTTATGTATGAATAACTGCTGCAAGTTCAGTCCATTCATCACTTGGGTTTGTCATGTTTCTCTCTCTTCCCTGTGGCGTGTGCACGGTGTATAACACTTGGGATGCTTTTCCCAAGCCTGCCTTTCGAACCAAGACTTTGGTGATTAATGGCACAAAGCACAGTATTAATTTTGTACTCAAATCTTTATGCATTTTTCCATTTTATGGCAGTTTTTATGGTCAGCTTTTATGTATTGTTGAGTTTCATTTGAGCATTCTTATTCTCTGTCTTT